TATAGCAAAACCAACTTGTACACTATCTAACAGAACTAACTATATGTATAAACCAGCAGAAAGTATTAGGAAAAACTACTAAATTGAGAATTAAAGAAGGGTAACTATAAAGAAAATATCTAAGTAGCCCGATAAGTAAGACTTGTAAGCCAAACAGAACTGTATCTAAACATAATTTAGCTCTAAAAGTAATTCAGGAAGTAGCTAAGCTAGATATTAAGATAGAGGAGCTATTCAAAGATCTAAGCTCACTAAATATGAAAGGATCTGAAATTGTAAATTTGCTGAGTAACAAAGAGGCACAAGCCTTCATTCACTCAGACAAAATAAACCTTTTCATTCTCGAACAGCTAATAGACTACTCAGGAGACCTGTTATTAACCTGACAACAATTAAAATATATAAAAGATATCAAAAAGAAAGGACATATACTGAATTGGTTTATAAAACTAGAAGAGAAAGTTCTGAAAAGTAAAGATTCAAAAGAAGTACACGATACATATAGAGTTGAAGGGATTAACAGAAGTGCAAGCAAATTACGACCAAAGAAATATCAGAAGACAGAAGAAAGAAGAAATGGTTCTTATTTAAGAAAGAAAAAAAGTTGCACTTAGGCAAAATGACAAGAAAAACTAAGAAGAGAGCAATAGCAACTCATTGGAAAGAAGATAAGAATAGTGCGGGAAGCTAGGCCTTTATTAAGTGTGATGGGTGCAATCTAGGAAGCTTTAATAATAGTGATTATATAATCAACATTAATTATGAAGAATAGTACCAGATAGTAGATATATAAAGAAAAGAAGAGAAAAATCTACTATTAGAAGTACCTTCGACTGCATATATAGAAACTAAAGAGATAGTAGAAAATAGTAGCTTTAGACAAGAGCTAAGTATAGAAATCATAGCAAACAGTCTCGAATCTGCAATCATTTAAAACTCAATAAGAGAAAAGCATCTAAAAGAAGATCTACTAGAAGCATATAAAGGATTAAAAGGGAGGAAAGTTATTGAGTATTATACAGATAGAGTATTAGAAAGTAATAGCAAAAGAGAAAACGCAGGAAAAATGGGTATAGGATGAGTAGTTAGAGAAAAAGACAAGTAGATAGAAATATTAGTTTTAGTAGTAGTCTAGAAAATTGGCCCTCTTCAATACATGCTGAGCTAGAAGCGATCTAGTCAGCCCTTCTTACAGCACCATGTAAAACTAAGGCACATATTTATACAGACAGCAAAGCTACAATAGAAGCCTTAGAAAGAGTTAATGCAAACAATAGTACACGAAGCTGGTTTAAGCTAAAAAACAGAAACATAATAAGCTATATTCAAAAATATTGCAAGGTGAAAGACTTAAACCTAATACTGTATAAAGTCAAAGGTCATAGCGAAAACAAATGGAATGACTAAGCAGACAGGTTAGCTAAAGAAAGAATGAAAAAATCTATAAGTCTCAGCATACCAGAGACAATATATAGCAATCTAATAGCTATACCCAAATAGAAAAGTCAAGCAATTGAAAAGCCTCTAAGATCTTCTATAAATATTATTACAGCAACAGTATATGAAACAGAATAGGCAAACCTAAGCAAAACTGCAGAAATTGTAGCTCACAACCTAAATTCTAATTCTGATACAGAGCTGAATTAGAAAATTACATGAGATTTGCTTAAAGAAATACAGGGCAAAAAATGTATTAGTTTGAAAAAGAGCAAATCTCTCATGTTTCATATAAAATACATTAACAAGATTCTACCTACAAAAGATGTTTGCTTTCAAAGGAATCCTAAGCTTTACAAAAGTCAAAGATGTATAGTATGTTTCTGAAAAGATGAAACTTTCTACTATCTGGCAGAATGTAAAATGTACTAGAGAATTTGGAAAAAACTCGAAAAAGAAGCTATACAGCTAACAGGCCTAGAAGCTTCGACAAAATTGGATCTAACATTAAACGAGATTTCTCTTGAAGAAGCAATATATGGTACCAAGTCAGAGGAAAAAATGAATAACAGAAAGATGCATCTAAGAGGATTTACAAGTATTAAGCAGCTCACAAGCTTAAGCAAAATAACTCAGTTAAGGAAGAAGGCAAGCAGAATCTTAGTCAGCTTTGTAAAACACTTTTGGGAGTATTTTTTCAAACGTCTGTAGAAATTTCGATGCGAAATCATGATCAAGTGAGAAAAAGAGAACCAAATCTCAACTAAGGATAAAAAGAAAAAATAAAGTAAAAGGAAAATAAGGACAAAGAAAATGTTTAACCTAGTAATGCAGAAAAGGAAAGAATAAAAGAGAAAGAAGAGAGATTATAGAAAGAGGCATTAGAAAGGGTTAACACATGGGTAAGAACTGAGAAAAAAGAAGGATGGTTAAAAATTAAAACAAAATAAGATGGTTTTGATATAGGCTAGTAGCAGCCTCTCATAGACCAAAGGTCTAGAGTTTGTACCTGCAGACTAAAGTCTTTGTGAGAGAAATTGTTGCTGCGGCAGATCACACTTGGGCACCCTAAGGCAGCTGAGTGAGTTCAGAATAGTTGAAGGAAAGTACTTTATTATACATTAGATAGTAACTTACTTTGTAGCACATGTAAGCTTTTTCTTAATAAAATGATGGACAAGATCGCTAAAAAAAAAAAAAAAAATATATAGTATTAATAGTTGTCTTAAATATATTTTCACAAATAACTTAGACAAAATAAGGCTTTAGACTATACTATAGAATTGATTACTGATTATTCAATAATTGAAGTTAAAATCAGAGTTAAAATAAAATTAAAAAGACTCTAAATTATACTATAGTTTCAATTACTAATTAATTTAATAATCAGAGTTCAAATTTCTAATAATATTTAAAAAATATGTAAACAATGATGAATAACAACTTCTCTTCAGAACATGTTAAATTACTTCTTTTTAGAATGTATAAATTTTTTTCTCTTTGCAAATATAAAATATAAAAAATATACAAATATCTTTTAGTAAATATAAAATTTTTCTTAATATAGTAATATTATGAGTACAAAAGTTCTTTAAAATTATATACAGAATTCTTTAAAGATTCTATCTATATTATTCACTAAAATATCTTCTAAGACAAAATATAAAATCAAGTAACTTTGTGTTAAGATAAACACAAAGTTAATATTTTGAAGCAAACTTAAAAGTAATAGACAATAGAACAAATAAGTTAACTTTATTATTACTGTTAATTAATATATTTTCTCAACAAAAATTATTAAATTTTATTTATTATAATGTAATATATACAGAATATTTTAAAAAAAAGACTTCTTTATTATGTGATAAAACAATTCATCCATCTTAGCAAAAGGTAATTATTTAATATTTCTATAATTAATATCAATATGCATTTAATTTGTGTAATGTTCAAAAATTAATTTGAATATAAAAGAGAACAATGAAATCTAAATATATCAAATACCAAAATACTGATTTTATACATATCATTCTAATCTAGTATTATCGAATACCTTAATATATATTAGTAATTTTCAAATATCAGTAATTGTCAAATACTCTGCATATCAGTAATTGTCACTTCTATTTATTATATTATCTGTTATACTTCCAATATCTAATTGATATTAGTGTAATATAATTTACTTTCAAAAATGAATAAGGTTTACTATAAGTTAGATACAAAGGTTTGAGTAATTATTCAAATTTATTAACTATGAGATTGAACTTCAGACCTTTTATATAATAGTTTAGTAATTTAACCATTACACTAAGATCACCAAACCTAATTCTAAAAATTTTTTAAAAAAATTAATTATAAAAATTTTTTAATATAAACTTTAAAAATTTATTATTCAAAAACTACTCAGTAAAAATAAAAAAAATTTTTTAATAAAATTTATAGAATATGTTTTCAATAATATAAACTTCATATTATTAATATTTTATTAAATTATTTAAAAAATAGTATTTACTCTTTAATTTTCTAAACAAATTTGTCTGAAATACAGTCTAAAGAATACGATTTTTATTATTGCAAAAAACCTTCGACATTCCAAAGTATTAGTATTATTTTTACTATAAAATTTATACTTTAACAGTGAACTACTCTTTGACTATCAAATGTAATACAAGAAATGTTAACTATATAATCAATTTGACCAAATTAAAAACAATGGTTCTGTTAGCTAATTTAGAGCTCTAGATTACGTTATGAATTTTAATGTGATAGATAATACTGTATTTTTGTTATTATAGAAGAATTTACTTTAAAAAAAAAAATTATACGTATTTTGTGATCTATTTTTTACTAACGTCATGTTTTACATATTACGCAAAGTGATGTTTGTTAACTATTAAATAACCTGATTGCCGATGCCTTCCGTTTTCGTTTTAACTATCAGCACGTTTCACTCGTGTTTATTAATCAAACCCACCCTTGCTATACATTACGTATACGTTATCGTTATGTTTTACTAATTGTTTACATTCACTGGCTAGTTTACCGTTTACCAGCATACACACTATTTGTAATTAATTATTATATAGAAAAAAGAACAAATACTTTAAAAAAAAGAATTAACTTTAGTTTTAGATTCTAAAAAAGGTCCAATCCATATATAGTGTGAAAAGGGCCCATTTTAAAAATTGTAAAAATGGGCCCTTTTAATACAAGTAAAAGAGTATTATACTAGGCCTGTATTATATACTATGGTAATGGTTAGTAGAATGTAAGAGACCCTGGGTTTATTAATCGATAATATGTAAATTACATAACGATAAAAGTCCTCTAGTTATACCCTTTTTCATGCAATGTACCCCAGGTAGGTATAGGGTTTTAACCGGTGGAATGTTACATACCCGGGTCGTTTATATGACGATTTACGGTATAATCAATAGGAATTTTGGTCACAAACACGACATGCAATATTATTGAAAGAAATTGAAACAAATTTTAACGTCCCCGTGTTATCCTTATTCCACGTCTTCACACGTTTCGAAACGACCGAGGAAAAAAACAAGATGGCGACGGAGATTGAAGCTCCAGTTCAAGTAACTGAGCCTGATCCTTCTTCGCAAATCTATAAGGCAACATATTCTGGCGTTCCAGTTTGGGAGTTTCGGTTGGCGTTATATTAATCGTGTGTTATAATCGTATTTATTCCGCTTATTCGACATTTTAACAAAATTCTTTTATCGCTTTTACGGACGTCAATTTAATACTGAAGCGTTCGAAGTGTAGCGGTTATGCGCAGAAAAACAGATTCCTGGCTTAACGCTACGCAAATTTTAAAGGTTGCTGAATTTGACAAACCACATAGAACTCGTATTTTAGAACGCGAAGTCCAAAAGGGTGAACACGAAAAAGTTCAAGGTGGCTATGGAAAATATCAGGGTACATAAATTTTCTAATATATGTGTAATACCACAATTTTTTTGAGATTTAACGTGTAGGCTTTAACTATGACATATAATTATAATGGCACCTTTAATAAATTTTGAGAAATTATATTTGTAAATAATTATTGGTCAATTGTTTTTATTAAAATATATTTATTTATTTATTTATTTATTGAATAGGAACATGGGTACCATATCAAACAGGTGTTGACCTAGCAGAACGATATCACGTAAAGGAACTTTTACAACCGATAATAGAATTTCAACCATCATTAGAAAGTCCACCTTTAGCGCCAAAGCACGTTACTGCCGCGTCAAATAAACCACGTAAACCACGTGAACCTAAAGAGCCCAAACCAATAAAGCCAAGGCTTCCTAAAAAGCCCAAGAAGCTAGAACCACAGGCTGAAACCGAAATTATGTCAGTGGATACCGACCACGAAACTGCCGATATAGCCAGTGTTGTATCGTCTAACGCATCAATATCACCAATTTTTTCCTCATTATCTGCATCACCTGCTCCAGTTGAGTCATCAAATGATTTATCAGAATCAGATGAAACTCATACTGTCTCGGCGGTACTAAAGCAGAAAAGAAAACGTAAGCAAGCAGACACGGGTGGTCGTGCAAACAAAGTCGCGAAAACTACGCAGCAATATTCTAACACAATCGAATATGGTAGTCTTCTGTTAACGTATTTCACGACAAATTCGGATTCTATTCCAGAGTTTATTTTGCACCCACCATCAGACTTTGATGCTAATATTATAATTGATCAACAAGGCCACACTGCACTTCACTGGGCTGCAGCAATGGCAAATTTTGAAATGGCTTCGTTGTTGGTAAAGGCTGGGGCAGATCCTGATCGTGGTAATGTTCATGGAGAAACTGCCCTTATGAGAAGTGTCATGTTTCCGTATAATTATGAAAATAGATGTTTTCATGATATAGTACAACTTTTGATTAGGACAATTGGTAATCTTGATATTCATGACCAAACAGTATTGCATCATATAGCCATTTATGCTACTACTAAAGGTCGAATTGGTCCATCAAGATATTACATGGAAGTTGTACTTGCAACGTTAGCACAACATCCTAATGATGAATATCGTAGAACTATTATCAACAAGCAGAATGACGCTGGTGACACAGCTCTTAATATTTCTGCTAGATGCGCAAATAAACGACTCGTAAAACTTCTTGTTGATGCTGGGGGAGATCCTCAAATTAGAAATGCAATGGAAAAAAACGCGGAAGATTACATATTAGAACTAGACCATGATCTCAAATTTAGAGCAGAACAAAATCGGGTGCAAAACCAGTCTTATAACAACAACACTGAAAATCATGTAAATAGTACGCCATCAACGCCGGTAGTTGCTCCTGCGGGTCCTAGTCGAGTAGAATTTTTATTACAAGACACCAACACTATCTTACAAGATTTTAAGGATCTGTACGTTAATCAAATACAAGTGAAAGATAAAGAGCTTTCCGTGTTTCAGGCGCAATTAGCATCTAATAGCGAAGACCTTGAAAAAACCAATCGTATGATTGAAGGGTTGAGAGAAAGAACCCGAACTTTACCTATGCGGAAGGAACGTGTGAATGATTTAATTAATTTAGTGAAAGACAAAATCGAAAGTCAAAGAAATAGAAGGTTGGAAAATTTAGTCTCGGAAGAAAAGTCAAAAATTGGACCAATTGGAGACGCAAATCAAGATAGGTAAAATGATTTAATAATATTTATTGTTGGTTATTGTTGGTTATTACTGGTTTCACGACTTCACGTTAAAGAACTTTTAACAAAACTTTATATATAGAGTCAAAGAACTTACGCAACAGTTGGAAAGTTTAAAAATTGAAAGGCTTCAACTGCTTAACACATTGATAGAAATAAAGAAGACACCTGATACTAATCTCTCACCTTACAAACGAGTAATTAGTATGTTTTCTGGAATGCCATCACCTCAGCAACCGTCATATCCGTAAAATTCCGAACAGGATGCAAATTTGTCACCCGAGTCACCCGCATGATTTTGAATATATAACTAGGATCGTCCATAAAAAATGTAGCTGGTGTCACTTGCAAAATATAATCATGATGTTTTATATATAAATTACATCGCTCACATATTGGTTACAAATGTAAAATATTAATTTCTATTATTTAATATGGGAAATTTTCGTCACTTAATGACGTAAAATTACGATGGCTACATATTTCTCCAGATCAACATAATTACGACGGTGTCGTCACTAGCTACGACTTATATCACCCTGGGTAGTGTTGTATATTTTTGTTGTTCGTGGCCTTTTTTGGCTTGTCCATAAATGTCCATACAAGTTTATGTCTAGTATTATTTAAAAAATTATATAAAATATTTCTATGTAAAATTTAAAATTTGACTTAACATATATTAAATCAAAGTTGTCATTGAGTTATTTGCATTTTTTTTTTTTTTTCGAAATGATGTTCAATATAATCACGTGATTATACGGGTGACTACTTCGGAATGCCAGATTAAAACTTGCCAGCATTTAAATAATCGGCCTAATATTTAATCTGACGACATACAGTTAGAGGTCGGAACCGGTTGTAAATTTTATGAGAACAGCTGTAAATGTGGATTGAGCTTAAACCGAATTTTATTCGGGTCGTATTATACGTGACGTATAAACTCTCTGATTGGTCAGTGTCGAATGATGAATAAAATAAAACCGAATTAAGCGGTTAAAACCTGGTTGTCGGAATTTACAACCAAATTGGCGGGTTACCCGAATTTACAGTTGAATTGTTATAGAAAGATATTTAACAATAGTAGATATTTTTATATTTAGTAATAATGGCAATATAATTTAATAAAAATTTTTTTTGTTTTTTATATATTTAAAGTATTTTTTATTTTTTTTAAAAAGTACTAATTAATTTTAGCTAAGAGAGCTAACAAAAATCAGATAATTTTCTAGATAAAAAGAGTTAAAAAAAATTAAAATTATATATAAAAAACCTGTATTAAATCAGAAAAAGTAGGAATAAATGAAAGTTACAATTCAAATATAAATAGATTTAGATCGATTATCTGTTATATTGATTTATAATAATTTATAGTTGTTTTTTTATTCTAAGACACCTGATTAAAAATTAGACTACTCTGATTCGATAATTTTTTGATTTCGGCCGAAATCAGAAAACTTATCGAATCGAATACGTAGTCTAATTTTTAATCAGGTTCTAGTTAGAATGAAAACTGCTATAACTCAGAATTTTGAATTATGAATTGTGATTTAAATGTCTCTAATTATTTATAATCACAATTTTTCTTATCATAAACCTGTATACAATAAGAATTTTACAGTAGACGCAAGAGAAATAACTACTATACTGTACACACGTGGCTTTTTATATCGATCCTACGTCCTGGCGATGTTTTTTTAGAGTAAATTAATTGCGCAACCAAAATTCAGCAGATCGACCAAAATTTTGGGCCGGAATTCATCGGATTTAGGGTTAGGGTTAGGCCAGTATTAGCAATAATGCTGGTCAACCATATTATAGCAAAATTATCATATGGGCAGCTTTATTCCGGCCCGATATGTTGATTTTTGGTTGCGCAACTAATTTATAGTTTTAGCAAAATCATCGGCCTTGCGTTAGACGGTCGATTATAAGAATAAATTCTAAGATGGTGCCGGAAGTCTATACTAGACTAGAGTTGTTATCAGCTTTCCTGAAGCCGGCTTGAGTTGTAGCTCGAAGCTGCGGCGTGGCTATGGCTTGACCCACAGCTTTTGTTATATGAACGGACCGCGACTTGAGCCATGGCTCCAATAGCAACGGTTCAAGTGGCTTCTGGGAGCCAAGCCGAGCTATCCAAGCCGACAACCCTTTACTAGACTTATTATAAAGAACAAAGTTACCGGTCAAAAATTTACTTTTATATAGTATTTTAAAGTTCATTTAAAATTGAAACATATCAGATATACGTAGCTGTAGTAATAATAATTATATATAAAATAATGGAAAAGTTACCGATTAATTTTTTTAAAAACCTTTGTATAAAAAGAATGATTAAAAAATTGAAACATGTCATACATACTACATAAAGACATTTTTTCTTGTTTTTATTTCTTATAATTTAATTCTATGTTTGACTTTGAACTATATTTTTATTATTTGATAAGAAATTTGAGAAAATCTAATTCAGCCACTACAGCACTATGGCGCACCAAGTTGGTACACATTTTCCGATGATAATCATGTCAAAATATGCAAGTCTTAACGTTACCGTTAATTATAAAGTCGAGTTCAGAAAATGGTACTGTTTTCATGCTTTTTGAAAATAAAATAGCTTAACTTTAGTTGGTTTATTATAAAAGGGAAAAGCGAAGAAATCAAGAAAATTTGCTGAGGTTAAACGTCTACTAAATCCTAATGATTCAAGATTGTATGCCATTTTTATATTTATTTTTTTCAAAGATATTTTATGGGTTTAATTATTGGATCACGTTATAAATTGAATTTGCTGTTTTCCTGTTTTATACGATTATTAGAAAATCGGTACAAGAAAAACAAAAAAATAAAGAAGAACAGAAAGAAAAAGAGGCTGTTCGAAATGTGTAAACATTCTAAGATTCATTTATATTGAAAATTAATCATGTTCAGAAATTGATTCTTTTGTTTTATACATAGGCCACAAGTAGCTTCTTCGTTATTCTTTAGACATAATACAGCTTTAGGTCCTCCTTATCAAATTTTGGTGGATACAAATTTTATTAATTTTTCAATTCAAAATAAATTGGAACTTATACAGGCTATGATGGATTGCCTTTATGCTAAATGTAAGTTTTATATTCTTAACTTTCTTAAAGTTTATTATGCGGTCGAAGGTACTTCTAATAGTAGATTTCTCTCTTCTTTTCTTTGTATATCTACTACCTGGTTCTACTCTTCGTGATTAATGCTGATTACATAATCACCATTATTAAAGCTTTCTAGATTGCACTCATCATACTTAATAAAGGCCTGGCTTCCTGCACTATCCTTATCTTCTTTTTAATGAGTTGCTATTGCTCTCTTCTTAGTTTTTCTTGTCGTTTTGTCTAAGTACAACTTTTTTCCTTTCTTAAATAAGAACTATTCCTTCTTTCTTCTATCTTCTGCTATTTTCTTTGGTCGTAATTTGTTTGCACTTCTGTTAATCCTTTTAACTCTATATGCATCATGTACTTCTCTTGAATCTTTACTTTTCAGAACTTTCTCTTCTAGTTTTGTAAACCAAGTCAGTGTGCATCCTTTCTTTTTGATGCCTCTTATATATTTTAATTGTCGCTAGGTTAATAACAGATCTCCTGAGTAGTCTATTAGCTGTTCGAGAGTAAAAAGGTTCATTTTGTCTGAGTAAATAAAAGCTTGTGCCTCTTTGTTGCTCAGCAAATTTACAATTTCAAATCCTTTCATATTTAGTAAGCTTGAATCTTTGAACAGCTCCTCTATCTCAATATCTAGCTTAGCTACTTTCTGAAATACTTTTAGAGCTAAATTATGTTTAGGTGTAGTTCTGTTTGGTTTACAAGTCTTACTTATCAGGCTACTTAGATATTTTCTTTGTAGTTGCCCTTCTTTAATTCTCAATCTAGTAGTTTTTCCCAATACTTCCTGCTAGTTTATACGTATAGTTAGTTCTGTTAGGTGGTATGCAAGTTGGTTT